AAGTCTAAAAAGTAAAAAAAAATCGCAATGCTATCCTTTCCCTTTCACAGCTTTTGCAAACACTGTTTACATTAGGACACATCAGAGAGAGCGACTGCGTGGCCGATCGATCCGAGAAAACCGGCGAATTAAGGCGAAACAAGGAACGAAATTAGCAAGCATGTACGCGGTACGAATGCATGATTGAGACAAAATTAAGATATATTAATGCAGGAATCGGAGCCACGATAATTTGATTCTTGACCATGATTAGGAGAGTGGTGGACGAAGATGAGGTCCCCTCGCAAAATTATTTTGATGCTGAAAGAAGTATCAATCGTTGCATGGTTGAGATATAGTTAATGTAGGTCAGTGATGATCAGGCAAAGCCTTATAAATTACTAGGTCGTGAATCTACGTCAACAAAATACGTTACCAGGAGATGATAATTAAGGTCGTGTGGCCTCTTGGGGCATCAACAAAACATTCTAAAAATGGCTTCTTACGACCTGTCCAGAATGATTGTACATACCTTCAGTTCCGAGAGCTTGTCGGCACAGTGAATAAATTCGAGTAAAAGGGGGGCATCCAGTAGAAAAAGTCGAGCCTACTTTTAAGATTATTTGATTTGGAAACTGATGGAACGGGTTTATCTCTGAAAGAGACTATTTCTTTAAGATCTGGGTTAGCCTTGTGCAAAAAAATCCGACGGACCAATCGAACTAACTTTTTTCTCTCCCTGATACGGGCATCATTTGTTTTTTTTTTAATCTCCCTGATACGGGCATCATTTCTTAAAAACAGAAACATCACATTCGTCATGTCAAACGGATAGCTAGATCATCCCATCCAAAAATATATGAGTCTAAAACATTCCACCTTGTTTCCAAATAAAACACATACCTATAGGACACATTTGGTAAACATGTCTAAGATATCGTATCTCACCCTCCAAATTATAAGTTTGTCTCACCCCTTCAATTTTTCTCAACTTAATTATTTTTTCCTTTTTTATTGCGGGAATTCTATCTAATTTGTTCATTCATTTTCATTTCTCAATCCCGCCCATTATCAAATACCTACTAGCTAGTGCAAATAGATTGTTTCCTACAAATTCCTGCATATGTTTTTTTTTTGAGAAATTCCTTCATAATTCAAAGACGGGTACATATGAGCATCCCTGTGCAGAGAGTGCTATTATTTTCTTTTAACCACCGGATTTGCTTTTCAAAAATATAATCTCTTCCATAACAGTTGGCCCAACATAAGCCCACATGGGCCCGTATGTTACTCGGATTTGGCCCATATGTTTATGTGAGACGCTTTTTGCTTGCACCTACACGGCCTATGTTGTAGTACGCTGCTATTGACCTCGCGTCGCATCGTTTGTACGTAATGTAATCCGTGCTGTCGTTGACAATTTATCTGTCACGTACGGTGTCACCCTTGACTTAATTCATTGTTGATTATAATTAATTTCTTTGTTGACAAAGATGATGACGCTGGTCTATGCATGCGTTCGCACTAGATGTATGCCAGAGAGGCGTCAAATTCAACATTCTCGCGTACCCGATACCTAATGTCGATATAGGGTTTATTTTATTTTAAAAAGTCTTTGAGATTAAGCCTTGACTTATGACTACTAATTGTTTATCATAAAATATAGCACTAGTAGCTGTAAATAGGGGTGAAAATAGAGCGGATATTATCCGATCCACTCCGCTTTGAATCTGACCGGAGTGAGGATACAGCAAGAGTTTTTGGATATCCGTCAGATGCGGATGCGGATATGGTATCATCGATATTCGGCGGATGCGGATTATCTTTTTTTTAATCGGATTATCCGAATGATGAGTTGGCGGATAATCCGCATGTTTCAGGCAAAAAAAAACTACACAATTGAGCCCATTTTAATAGGCTAGCCTATCTAGCCCATTTATGTGGAGTGTTGACCTAATCCTAATCCCCCACCGTCGGACGCCGGCTCTCCTCCCACTCTCACGCGCGTCGTCGCCGCCACTGCGCTACAGTCCCGACGCACACGCGCGCCGCATAGGCTAGTCCCCGTCCCGGCACCGCACACACGCGACACCACCGCCGCAGCGCCGTGACTACCCTATTGACTGCCCGTCGCAGCGCCTCCTACCTGCCATGTGCCATCTTGCGCCGCCGCCTCTCCTCTAGCGGCCAGCGCCTTCTGTGACGCCGTCTCTCCAGCGGCCAGTGCCGGTGCATCCAGCGACCAGTGCCACTCGCCAGCGCCTCCTGCGACGCCGTCTCTCCACCAGATCCAGTCCTCGTCGTCCCCATCCTCCCGCCTGTCGTGTGCCATCCACCGTCGCCACTCTCTAGTGGCCAACTCCTCCACCTCCCGGATTCCCCATCGCCAGCCACCGTCGCCTCTTGCCGGCTCCATACCAGGCATTGTGTTCTTTGACTTCTTTCTCTAATTTGAATTTTCAATTTTGGGATTTAGAAATTTAGAGATGAGATTTGGGATTTAGAAATTTAGAGATGAGCTTTGCTTTAGGTAATTTAAGTCAGTAGCAATGTCTAATTTGATTAATTTCATTAGGACTCAAAAATAGCACCTAGTACTGCATGGGTTAATGAACTATTGAACTGCATGGAACTATTTTGTTAATGTACTGTCATCTTGATCTTGGACTATTGGACATGTTAATTTGTTGGGTCTTTACTCATGATGGCTGATGTTATGGCATTTAACTTATATTTTTAATTAGCAATGCAGTGAAGTGAGGACTTATATTATGTATTTTTGATTGTTTATATTATGAATGTGTTTTGGCTGCATTTTCCTAGAGAGTTGACATCATGTTTAGATGTTGTTTTGCTATCATATTGCTGCTAATTGTATTGCTGCCCTCTTGTTATATGGATTAAATACAAACTTAACATCCGACAATATTATTCCGTTTCCGCACCGACTCCGCACCGAAATAATCCACTCCGTATCTGCATCCGCATGTCATCCACACCTGCTCCGCATCCGCTTTAAAAAATGGTATAGGATATGGTATGACCATTATCCGTCCGAATCCGCTCCGTTTTCACCCCTAGCTGTAAAACAATAACAACTCTATTGTTTCGCTTATACATATACTTTATCTGTACTATTTAATTAAAAATAAAAATAATTTGTAGATAAAACTTTTATATGCATGTCCTTAGTGATTTAAAATCAAATATTGTAAAATAAACTACGATGAAAAACCCATAAAATCAATTTCAAATTTAAGTCTTAAAATTTCAATTTTGACTTGTAATTATACATAACCACAAGCATAAACTAAATGATGAAGCTGTAAAACTAACATTTTGTGTGAAAGCACATTAATATGGACGTATCAGCACAATTTCGATAGACTGGACATATTTATAATCTGAGAATCAACAAAAGTTTGATATTTTAATTCCTACACTCAGAATACGTCTCATAGAAATCAAAGGAACGACTTTGAATTTTAATTTATGAATTCAAGTGAAGGCTCACGTACTGTACTCACAGTCACAGTTGGCATTCTTATATAAACCAAAATGCTAAATTGAACTCTCTTTCACTGTTCGCACGCCTTGTTATCCTTCTTTGTCCATGTGAGGTAGGAGTAGAAAGTTTGACTCACCTAGTACTGGTAATCATCAACCTTTGGACCGAATTATGCATACATATACATATACATATATATATACATATACATATATATATATATATATATATATATATATATATATATATATATATATATATATATATATATATACATGTTTTCCATGCACACAAAAAACACAGAGAGGTTGAAGCGTTCTACAACTACTGTTACTCACTCCCTCTCGCTCCGCTGCCTTTGGTCGTGTTCGGTGGTGAGGTCGAGAACTCACCTACGGAGCGATGCATTTTTTATGTTTAATTAAATGTTTACTATTTTTTTAAAAAAATTAATTAATATAATTTTTTAAAACAACTTTTGTATATAAAATTTTAATAAAAAACATACCGTTTAGCAGTTTTAAAAAACGTGTGCGCGGAAAAAACGACAAATGGGTTAGGACACCCACAATGGTTATCTATAGGCTCTTTACAAGATATCCATGTCAGCATATTTTTCTACTTGGAAAAGATTAAATGAAGAGAGAGAGCAAAGCTATCTACTAACCTAGAGATAGTCTATAGAGAAAAACGAGGCAATGGATTAGAGAGCTATAGATATCCATGTAGACATATCATTGAAGTGGTTTACTATTAATCTAGTCTATTCCTGAGATGTACATGCTTTATAGAAAGTACCTTACTTTACCATTGCGGTTGGAAAGTTGGAGAAAGCACTCAGCCAAACACGCGCGGGCGAGTCATGAGTGACGTCACTCTCCACTTCCCCCGGCCGTGTGCGCAAAAGCAACAAGAACACTTCAACCCAGCCAAAAAGAGAAAAAAGAAATCACACCATGAAAAGCGACACCACTATCGATCTCTCCCTGATCACGCAGCACGCTCGCTGTCTCTGACTCTTTGTCCCTTGAATTGAAATTCTCCCCCGGGTGAAGACGGACAAGGGGATCGCAACGCACGGCATGCACGATCGCCTTGTGATTTTACCAACCCAAGTGTTGTTTCGGCATTCCCCGAAAAAAAAAAAGAGAGTCTCGTTTGACGTTGATTAGCCCAAATTTGAACTAACTAAAGTCATGCATTTAGTAAAGAATATAGTACAGATGTAGCTTTTCTTATAGTAGTAATTGAAAGCTCTTCATAAAGATCAATATTTTTTTTCATACTAGAAAAATTGCCCGTGCATTGCAACGGGTAAAAATTAATTTAATCTTGCTATTGTTATATAGTTTAGTTAAGGTGAAATTTACTATGAGAATTCGATTAGATATAGATATATATATATATATATATATATATATATATATATATATATATATATATAATTATGAGCTACAATTAGGAGTCTGATCATCTTAAGTTAACATACGAGTTTTTTTAAAGAGATTTCTTATGCAACTCCTTCTGTATTTCCAAAAATGAACGAAGTTAAAACCCGATTCAAATACGAATCTATATTTCCAAAAGCGAACGAACTTAAAACTGATTTATACACGGATGACGTACCAAAGCACCGGTAAAAACATCTTTAATTTTTATAATATTAGAGATTTTAAGAAGACCAAGGATATGTTGACAGGAGTTTCCTGGTAGCTTTAGTTTCTCTCACATCAAAAGCACTCCCAAACAGTCTAACTTTTCAACTAGACTATGAGAAACTATAGGTACAACACCTAGAAAATAAACTAGAAACTAGAAATTAGACATCTTAAAATTCCCAAAAAAGGTCAGAAGCTAGCTACCAATCCGTTATTTCTTAGAATTTTTTTTAAGTTTCCCCGAACATAAACATAAAACCTTAAAAAGTGAGAAGCTTGGTTTCATAATTCTAACCACCCGCTTCTAAAATTTTAAAAGTTTAAATGAAAATCAGAAGGTAGGTGTTCCATTATCGTTAGCTGGATTTTCACATTAGAATGTAAAATAAAGCTTTCTTCCTACACAGACCCCAAGCTCGTGTCTTGCAGGTAGTAGCCATCACGTGCGTGAATATGCCATGTGCTGGTTGACCAAACAATGCTAGTAGTGTGCCCTCGCATGCATGCTCAACGAATACAATATAATAATGCCTAGGAGTGGTATTCTTTATGCCCGAGTCGAGAAGGTCAGCGCTGACCTCGCGGAACCTATAAATGGTGGACGCGGCGGAGACACAACACACACTCGCCGTCTTGTCTTGACGCCGCCGAGAACGAACGAGCTCGAGCTCAGAGTGATCTCAGATCGTCGTCGCGGTCAGCGCCGACGACGAGCAAGCTTCGCCGGAGGGGGAAGACGGTACGTACATGGGCCGGGTGGCGGCGAGCGGCGGCGGCGGCGGCGGAGGGGAGATGATGAGGTACAGGGGCGTGCGGCGGCGGCGGTGGGGGAAGTGGGTGTCGGAGATCCGGGTGCCCGGGACGCGGGAGCGCCTGTGGCTCGGCTCCTACGCCACCGCCGAGGCCGCCGCCGTCGCGCACGACGCCGCCGTCTGCCTCCTCCGGCTCGGCGGCGGCCGCCGCGCCGCCGCAGGCGGAGGCGGCGGGCTCAACTTCCCCGCCCGCGCGCTCGCCGCGGCGGCGGCCGCCTCCTCCTACGGCGGCGCCGGCGGTCTCCTGTCCCCGCGCTCCGTGCAGCGCGTGGCGTCCGACGCCGGCATGGCCGCCGACGCGCAGCTCGTGGACCTGCGCCGCGACCACCCGCCCGCCGCCGCCGCCGCCTCATCCTCCGGCAGCGGCGTGGCGGGAGACGGTGCAAGAAAGCAAGGGACACGTGGCGAGGTTAGCGACACGTATTGGTGTAGGAATGGAGAGGATGGGAGCAGAAGCCGGAGCTCCGGGAGTGAGGAGCTCATTGTTTACGAGGGCTTAAGTGTAGATGACATGGAAATTTTGATGTAAACAGTGATTATTTTATTAATATGAAGATGTAAAACTCATTCTTTACTAGCTAGTACTTCCTCCGTTTCACAATCTAAGTCATTCTATCATTTTTCACATATATCAATATGAATGTGGGAAATGCTAAAATGACTTACATTGTGAAACAGATAGAGTACTATAAACTAATAAATGCCGCATAATAGAGAATATTTTGTCAAAGGAAAGGATATTTTTCCTTCAGCTTAGATTTGTGGATACATTATGTTTCCACTAAACCAAGGAATCATGGACAACCGCACAACCTTTTTTTTCTTTGGGGCATTTGCGAATTTGCCATCAGTTTTTTTAATTTTGCAAGGATGCCACTCGAATGACCGTTCTAGTGGTATTTTTGCAATTTTCTAGTAGCAGTCTTGCAATAACGATTCAAAGCCGTGGTAAATTTGCAATTGCCCCTTTTTCCTTTGGAATGAACACATGCTTAAAAAATATAGTTTCCAAATCAGCCTGAGAATTCTACGAATTAAGGTAGTATTAACTAGCGGATAACAGAGGGATAACGGATTTTCATTGGCGTAGAAGGCAACGGATAGTGAGAGATATAACGGACAATACATTAATTCTAATAACTAAAATAAAAAAACACTCAAATATAAGTAGTTAAAATTATAAATTGTAGAGTAGTACTAGTACTTATTTTACTAAAAAGCTACTTATCATTTAAACAACATATTAACCATGAAGCTAGGTCAAAAAATAAAAAATATTTTAATAACATACTCCCTCCATCCCAAAATAACTTAATATAGAATAAGATGTGACCCATCACAGAACAACAAATCTGAACAAAGTCTTTTATTTTGGGAAGGAGGGAGTACATTACCAAATAGGGCCATTATTTCGCACATAGCGCCCACAATGTTTCCTTCGTTATTTTAGCGGCACAACACTATCGTGTAGCGGGAACACTACACTATCGTAGTTGCGACCGCTATTTTGTTGTGTAGAATGGATAAAATATGCATGTGTCGTTAGTGTGCAAGCATAGGTAGGCATGAATTCTCCCATGCATGCATTAGAAATCCGTGAAAAAACTGCATATGTGCCTTACCAAACTTCAGTACTACAGTATAATTCAAACTCCACCAAAAGTTGATGGTTTACTTCTTTTCCCCCCTCACAGATGAAGGTAATTTCTACCATTGGGGGTGGACATTTGTCTTTTTTTTTTTTCAAATTTTTCCTTTTTTTAAGGATATACTCCCTCCGTACTCGTAAAGGAAGTGGAATTCGTTTAGGATAATGTTTAAGTCAAACCTTAGGAACATAAATCATGAATAACTTTCAAGTTGTTGAGTTTGAAAATGTAAAAATTATATGAATAGATTTGTCTTGAAAAATACTTTCATAAAAGTATACACATATCACTTTTCAATAAATATTTTTTAGAAACAAGAAGCTAAAGTTATGTTTTGGAGACCGAATCACTGTCCAAAACGTCTTCCTTTACGAGTACGAATGGAGTATGTACTATACCTATGTGGACATTTTTTTTTTTGGGGAGCAATTTTCTTTTCGTCGGCTCGCTTGCAGTCAGCAAGTTCATGTACCAGTCCAGATGAAGTTCAAGGTGCATGGATTCAATGATAGGCTGAGGTCTTCGGCTTTGCCAGGCTGCCAGCCAAAGATGACACAGCTTTTGACCTTCTCTTTGACATAACAGAAGGTTCCAGAAACCCATGCTCTTGACCTTCTCTTCGACATAACAGAAGGTTCCAGAAACCCATGGATTTAATTTGGGCAGCAAGTCGAGGGGAGAAAAATAAACAGCTTTGACTGGTATCAGACAATCAGGTACAGTACAGTCACTACCACTCTACCAGTAGTCTTCCTGGACCTCAAAAGCATATCGCAAATGCAAGCCTGGTTGAGTAGTTGGGCTTGAGTGGTCAAAGCTTGAAAAGAGAAAAGCACAGTAGAATTTTGGAACTGCTTCAATAACCCAATATTGCTTTGGAGTCACCTATACAATTCGGTATCATCTGATATTTGTGTGAAGTGTAAATTTTATATAACTATAGATACTTTGATCGAATTATCATAAACTACATATTTAAAGATGCGTACAACAAAATTATATATTTAATGCTAAATTTATCCCAGAACTATAGGTGTAAAGCATAGTATCATAAAACTACATATTTAGTGAAGAAGTTATCAAAGAACTACCAATTTTAGAGTTTATATCCATAGCACTATTGATGTTACAAAAAATTATAATTTTGTGATAAAACTAATATTAAATATGTAATTTTATGATAGATATTCTTAAATCAGTTTTGTGATAGATTGATCTAAGTACATGTGGTTTTGTGAAATTTACATACCGATGTTCTTTCTCAACATCTTTCTGGTCTCTGATAGTATGTTTATCAGCACTAGGCAACCACATTTTTCCACATTTCGGCATTTGCCATCATCCATTCGCAATCATCGTGCAGAGCTTATTTGAGCATGATAAATGCATATTCAATAGTTGCATACATAGCAGTTGCTAGTTGCTACAAGAAGCATGGAGGGCATGAGACTAGAGTTGTACTAGGTGAGATTTATCCTATTTCAATTATGTACAGGACAGATACAACCTTTAGCTGTTTGTCATGGTACATATGAGCAGCATCTACTGGTTGTCTTCCTTTGGTTTCTGGCTGAGCTCCGAGTAATGCCCTCCCATCAGCTGCAATATCTCGGTCCAGAGACAAGAAGGATCGCCTGTCAGTGCATCGCTGATCAGCTCCGTGCTGCAGGAGGCGACGGCCCAGTATCCTGCCCTGATCTCGCTCAACAGCTGCTCGTAATCCCACGCAGCGTGCCCGACGAAGAACCTCAGGTCCTGGCTCTTAATTGCCCCACTCTTCATCAGAACAGCAGCCTTCTCTAGGTCGGTCCGGAAGCCAAAGCGAATGCCTGGTATGACCTCCTCGAACCCCTTGAGACGAGAGTTGTCACTGGCCCTCACCAGGAACATGCTCATGTCGACAGGGCCTCCGAAGAAGAGGGGGGAGTCACCGAACGGAGTTGCCTGGTCCTGGAATGATGGATTCACATTCTTGATCTTTGTGTAGAGTGGACGGTTCAGGATGACTCCAAACGGGCTATCAAATGTGCCTCTGGAACCTAGTCTAAGGAGGAGAATGACAGTTCTTTCGAAGATGCTATCATCGTCAAGCACTTCGGTAGCAACCAAGACACACCCTGCTTCTGGCATTGTAATAGGGTGAGCCCACTTTTGAGGAAGCTGGTGTGCTGGTTCTCCTGATGATGTTTTCTGCTCTGCGGGTGCACTTGGATCTACCAAGAGCTCCTGCTTCAAAGAATGGTTTTTAAGAAAAGCACAGAGAATCAATTGAAGATATGAGTGGGCTAGTTACAAGGCAGTTTCCTTTTGCTTTCGTTTCAGGAATTTCTGTGCTCAGCTATGAGCAATTTGAAATTATTTTGTACCAATATGAAAAGAAACATGTAAAAAATTGTAAAATAGGAACCTATGTGATGAAAATCTTCATCTAGCAGCCAATATCAAGGAACAATAAGGCGGTGAAGAAGATTGATATGTGTGCTTTTTCTGCATGAATATTCTTCCCATTTGATAACAACTAGGCAACTACTTCATATGAACATGTAATATATTCATGCCATATTCTTGTGCAATGTACTAACTGGTTGAAAGCCATATTCTTATGCAATGTACTAACTGGAGAAAATATACTACATATTCATATAGAAATTGGAGTTCTCTAGTGAGTTGTGATCAGTGATACAAGCTAAAGCCGTGTTTAGTTCACCCCCAACTACCCCAAACTTCCAACTTTCCATCACATCACATCACATCCAAAACTTTTCTACACACATAAACTTCCAACTTTTTTTCCAAACTTCCAACTTTCCCCAAACTTCCAACTTTTTTCAGGAACTAAACACACCCTAAGTTCAACACACCATTCCCAATTTTCTTGGCAGAGAATAAAGGACCCATAGCAGGTGCAATCATAAATGCCTGGATGCCCTAAATGTTTGTCCTTATGTTGGCAACAATTTAAAGACAAGTTATGAGCACGATATAAGGTAAGTAAGAACAGGTTGGCCTCACCTGCTCCCGGCGCACAAGGTTTGCTCTGACATCTCTCCAGTAATTGCTGTTAGAGATATTGGATTTGGATTCGTTATGCAGTTGGTTCAATCCATCAGAGCTGTCACCTGTGGAGGCCGCATCGTCATTTCCTGTATAAAAAAGCCATCATTTCAGCACAACCAACCAGGTCAACATTTCAGTTCATGGTTTTAACTAGAATATACTACAGAAATACGAAAGCAAACATGAATTGTTCTGTAGACGGCGTGAAGTTTCCCTGTCCTACTGCCATCCGTGTAAACACGTTATCATGCATTTCCTTTATACCCCGTTCTTTTATCCTTATTCACTGGATTATTGCTGTGACTATTTGCTCCACTCTTCTATAAATACATTTTCTCAAGAAACTTTCTTCTATTGCGTTGCTTAGACCTCTTGCTCTAAGTTATTTGTTAGGTTTATAAAATGTAGTACTTTGTTCTTCCCTATAAATAATTAGATAATTCATCAGCTTTCATCCAAGAATAACTAAAAATAACACTGCCTTAAGTAGCTTAGACACAAACTGGAGCAAAAATCATCTAAATTAGGAGAGTTCCATCCAATTACTAGTGTCCACAATACAAAACTATTCTAAACACTCGAAAGATTCTATTCTAATGCAACTCGAAAGACGAACTACGAGCAATGGGGCACGCACAGATTCTATTCTAAACACTCACCAGATTTCACTACAAGAACCCCGAATGCAATATCTCCCAGTTCCCATCATGGCTCTGCATACATCCATTTTGAATGTAGAATCCAGGTTTTAATCCATTATCTAGAAAAATGAAGAAGCTACTAATCAATATCAGAACCAATTCGATCACAAAAATGTCAGGGTTAGATAAAATTAGCTAGTGACTAGATTACTCTTCCAATTTCGCTAATTTAACCCAAATTTCCACTGCTGTCTCGTCAATCAGTTGCACAAAAAGACCACCACCGGCCGGAGAATTTGGAGCATGTCACCCCGCCCAATTCCCCAATTCCCCAACCGCATGGCATATACGAGAAAAGGTTCTTTTTCCAATCGCGCCAAGATCCCACCTTTTTCCCGGCTCCAGAAAAATTGGGGGTACAATTTTTACTTGTCGGAAAAGGGGAGTCTCTCTCACCGGAAGAAGACGAGGCCTTGCTCTTGGCCTCATCGTCCCCGCCATCGCCGCCGCCTGGGCCGTCCTTGCCCCTCCTCCCCGACGCGCCCACCGCCACCAGCGCCATGCCGCGCCTCCCCCCGACCCTCCTCCCCGCCCACGCCGCCGCCACGGAGCACGGGGCGGCCTCGCCGGCGGCGAGGGGGCGCCGCCTCGGCGTGAGGCAGGGCCCCCCGCCGCCCGCCTTCAGGTTGAGGGCCCACATGGCCGTGGCCGCGCGGAGATGGGGGAGGAGGAGAGAAGCGTGGGAGTGGGAGTGAGGACCGCACGAGGCTGCGGAGCGATGATGATGACGAGTGGGGTGGGTGGGGTGGGTTGGTGGGTGGGCGTTTTGTCCTTTCGGAGGCGGATTTGCTAAGCGTAGAAAGCGCCTTTCAATACCTGGAAAGATGCCCCATAAAAGAGAGAGGTTCCATTGGGAGATTCTTTGTTCAGTTTGTAGCCGGAAATAGGGGTGGAAAAGCTCGGGTCGGCTTGCAGTGGCTCTCAAAAAAAAAAAAAAAGGCTTGGATTGGCTTGGCTCAGCTCAGTTAGGGAAATAAGCTAAAACTTAAGTTCGGCTCGGCTCATTTGGCTTGCAATCCTTTCTATTGAAACACCTCTTCATATATATTTTGTAATTATTAAAAAAAAGTAAGAACAAATCATCAGCATGTAAAATTTAAATAAGTTTATATATTCAATTCTTCAAAATCTTAATGATAAATTTCAAGTTGACAAATAATAACACCAAAAAAGTAAAATAATCGATATGGTCTAGGCTCACGAGCCAAAACAAGCGGCTCGCTAGCTAGCTCGACTCAACTCATTTCAGCAACGAGATGAAAAGGAGGCTTGAGCTTGGCTCGTTGGGCTTATGAGCCGATCCAAGCCAACCAAGCTCGAGCCAAGCCCGAGCTTATTTTCCACCCCTAGCCGGAAAGATAAAAGAGAAGGTACGAAGATAAAAAAAAGTTCTACCAAATTTTAGCATATTTTTGCATTGCCTAATTTTGATAATGTTAGATATGTTTGGTTTGAAGTCTTACCAAGTTTTGCGTCCATAGCAGAATGGTGCAGGATTACTACCATTTTCTCCATCGATTGCATAATCAAAAGAACTATAATTTGTATTCGACGGAATATTATCTTAATACTATGTTCGCCACCAAGTCTTTGGTCCTAGGGTCCAAAGGACATTATTTAATTCCTCCATACAACCCTAGAAGCAAATGTGGACGGAGATCTAGTCACCGCACAACAATTATTACCGCTAACATGTGGGTCCAAAGATGAATGAGCCCATATGTCAATGGCACAATGAATCCTGGTAAGAGCAAATAGTGCAAAATCGATATGTCTATGAGTGTGATCAGTGATTAGCTTCTTGGAAACCATTTCTATTAGGTTGATGGAAAGGTTTGGCGCGAGACGCTTATACATTTCTAAAATTTAATAAAAATCTAGTTAGTACAGCAAGTTGACATTTATCGCTCAAAAATTGCAATTCAAATTTACTTAAGAAAATATAAAATTTTAAAACATCATCATCCAATTTTATAATTTTGATGTACACTTCGTGAACACGTAGATGGATTATTATACTCTCCATGAGTTTGTATGCTAGTATATCGAAGCATCCCAAGATATGTTAAGATTTGTTTGGCTCAACATCAATTTTACATTTTTACGAAAAAACAGTGGGCATGCCAAATAAGTTCTAGCAAAGCGTAATTTAATAAAGAACTAAGAGGTTCAAAAGTGTCTACTGGTACCATTTCGTCATCCAAAGTAGATTTTCTTCATAAGAACAAATTAAAGAAGAGAGTATGGGTTGGTGTGGTTTGCTACCTTTTCAAAAAATAATAATGTAAGATATTTAGTAATACATTCTATACACTTCACCATACCAAATTTTAGTAACACCTTTGTATCTACTATATTCATACACTTTGGGGATGAAATCAAACTCATATGTTCCAAATCTATCATACTCTTTCTTTCTTCGGGTAATGCAAAATGAAAGGCATCAAACAAATAGGGCCTATATGCTAAACATTATTACCGCATTTGCTTTACAGTTCTCTTGTATTCCAAAAGAAAAACATTAGAGGGAGAAACGTTCCTCCAAACATTTTTTTGAAGAAATTATGAGCGTGTTGAGAATTAAAAACAGGACCTCAGGATTGAAACCACACATTTCTTACCACTTCACTATTATTTCTTGTATTCCTTTCCCAAGACATGATCAAATTATTTCTTATATTTTTGTGCTTAGTTGTTCATCTAAAAAAAATGTATCAATAACAGTGATGAAAATGCAACCTGTTATTCATTCCAAGAATCACGTTTTCCCCTATACCCTTTTGTGTTTAGGAAAAAAATGCAAAAGTGATGAAATGCAGAGAAAACAATTGCAAACCTTTGTGTGCTTGGTTGATTCTCCCAAAGCGTAACAAGATAGTGATGAAAATGTAGAGAAACTGAACACACACACAAAAAAAATTGTACAACAACAGTGATGAAATTCAGAGAAGTAAAAAAATTGCGAAAGTGATGAAATGCAAAGAAAAAAAATGAAAATGCAGAGAAACTGAACACGCAGTGATGAAATTTAAATAAATAAAAAATTGCAAAAGTGATGAATGCAAATAAAAAAATTGCAAAAATTATAAATAAAAAATTGCTAAACCAAATTGCAAAAATTGGTCCCGGCGGGGCTCGAACCCGCGACCTTCGGCTCATAAGACCAACGCTCTAACCAACTGAGCTACGGGACCGATCTGTTTGAAATTTATTTGTTTTTTAATTAAATTTTATCTCTAGAGTGTAATCGAAATTCTGTTCGTCATCTCGTTACAGCCAATTCCTGTTACATAATCTCCTTCTGTAACAGCAATTCCGCTTTATGTTTGATACCTTCTAGTGGATCACCACCATCACCGACATGTAAGATCATAAGATACAGTAAATGATTCGTAAGTGAACTAACCAAACTCTTCAATATTTATAGTACTAACATGTGTCACATATCATACTAGATTAATTTATTTTGGGACTAAGAAAATACAAACAATTAAGATAATGTGGTTTACAACAATTTAAATCATATATGAATTGATATTCAGAAACAAAACTAAGGTGATGCGACTCAATGAGAGAAGAAAAACAAAGATGGTAATGTAGATTAATCATCCAAAGAAAAAACTAAGGTAACATAATTTTATAAGAGAAGAAAATGAGAAAGATAATTTAGACTATAAATCAACATTCAAGGGCTAAAAATAATTGAGAAGATGTGATTTAATAAGAAAAGAAGAAATAGTATTAACTACATTGAATCAAAGATTGGCAAAGGATTTTCATAGGATTTAAATTCCTATGTATTTTTTTCCTACATGTCCCTCTTTGATTCATCGTAAGGAAAAAAAAACTTCCCATGGGATTGTATTACTATGCTTCATATTTTGTGAATTTTTCTTTGTTTTTTTCATAGCATTATCAAAAGGACTCTTATTGTCTTTTCTATGTTTATTGATTCCTGTAGAATTTGAGAAACATACTACCTCAATTCCTACATTTTTTTTATTCCTATGTTTTTTCTTTCCCGCGAATCAAACAGGCCCTCAGTGGTACATATATAGGATAGGATATCGTGTACAAGTCACATAATTTATTTCATATACAAGCAAGATAAGATTTCCTGGTAATACCGGCTAACTGAGGTTCTTCAGCACTCATATATATCCATTTTCAGTTTCAGACAGCACTTAATTTTTTTTTGCTCGGTAAATGCCCCTACTTTGTTCTTGCAAGCTAGCATTTTTTTTTCAGTCAACGATCTTCATTTATTTCACACAAGAAAAACCCTAGCTACTTTGATGATCCTTTCGGAATCGTGCAGACACTACTTAAAAAAGTGCCAAAGGTATCGGTTCATAGAGAGCCATAGGTAACAGATTTTCATCTGGCACCAATACTACTAAGCGACACCTATAACGAAAATAGAACCGGCACTTTTAGCATTACCCAATCCAGAAAAAAAAAAGAGAGAGAGCCGGCTCGAATCCGAGCCGAACTCACCAAGCGCCGTCACCGCGCATACGCCCTTCTCCAAATCAAACTAATATCTCCAAACCCCAAAATCATTCACAAATCACCACCAAAATAAATTGACATAACATAATGAACATATTCAACAACAAATTCATCAACAAATTCACAAAAAACATCATCGCCATGTGCCGCCGCCGCAGCCCATCGCCTGTCGCCTCCCACCTCCCCTCCCGCCAGATCCAGGGGAGGGGAGGGCGCCGCCGCAACCCGTCACCCGCCACCTCCTGCCTCCCCTCCCGCCAGATCCAGGGGAGGGGAGGGCGCCGCCGCCGCCGCAACCCGTCGCCCGCCGCCTCCCGCCTCCCTCCCGCCAGATCCGAGGGAAGGGAGGGCGCCGCCGCAACCCGTCGCCCGCTGCCTCCCGCCAGATCCGAGGGAGGGGAGGGCGCCGCCGCAACCCGTCGCCCGCCGCCTCCCCTCCAGCTGGATCCGACGGAGGGGAGGGCGCGGCTGCTGCCGCCTCCGCCAGGCCGCCGCCCGGCCATCACTGTGCGCGCGAGAGAAGATAAGAGACGAGAGAGCGATAAGGTTGACTTATAGGATAAGGCCGATGCATCGGCCTGGATCGGCTCTGCAACTTGGCTCGGTTTGGATAGGTGCCGATTTTTTTTAAAAAAATAGACACCTATAATTTATTATTGGTGCCGGTTTTTAATTAACCGACACCTATACTACAAGTGTCGGTTTTTCCTTAGAAAACCAGCACCTATACTATATTAAAGGTGTTGGGGTTTTTTAAAAAACCGACACCTATACTATATGTGTCTGTTTTTCTTTAGAAACGGCACCTATAGTTGCTTAATGGTATTGGTTTTATATGTTTTCAACCCGCGGAGGAGGAAAATACATTATAAGTACCGGTTTTAGTTATTCCGGTACCTATAGTGTCGATCTCTATGGGTTTTTTTTGTTGTAGTGGAATTCATCGGTATTCATAGTAGCAGTAATTTATCACTACTCGGACATGACAACCCACAAGTCCATCGGTATTCAGCAGCAGTAGTAGTACAAACACAAGCAGCACTTGCCCTAATCCAAACTGAGCACACAAACACACCCACAAACAAACACCACCCCAGCTCGTTCATTAGCTCACCCCCTACCTAGCTACAACAACATAGTAACACTGCATGCAAAAACGAATAGATTCATACCCTAAGTACTTCATCCGTCACATAATAGAAAAGATTTTGGATGGATGTAACACATACTACGAATCTAATCAGACTTCATATCTAAATTCGTAGTACTGAGATATGTCTTATTCATCCAAAATTCTTTATATTTCGGGACGAAGAGAGTAAGAGAGAGGATATATGTCACGACCGCCGGCGGCGACAGCTGCTACGGCTGCCAGGCGGCGAGCTGCTGGATGTTCATGGGGTGGACGAGGTCGGCGCCGCCGGAGTAGGCTGCCTTGCCGAGCAAGATGTTGACCCTCTCCGTGGGGTGGAAGGCGTCCCAGAAGATGTAGGTGTTCCTGTTCAGGCACGGCCGCTGGAACGGCAGGCACGTGATCATCCCCCTGTTCCTCCCTATCCCACAGCACCCTCTGTCCACCACGCTGAACCCTGCATCATATGTATCATCACCTCGCATCACGTCACGGTGGTCTCTACGGCTAGTATTCTGTTTCTATGCTAATGCTGATGTCACGTCACGGTGATCCCTATTGATAGTATTCTTTGCGAAATTCAACATCATGTCATCATTACTATCCTGTTCTACGTGAAAATTGACATCACGTCACGGTGATCTCTATTGGTAGTATTCAGATCTACGTGAAAATTGACGTCACGTCACGGTGATATCTACTTGTAGTATTCTACTCTACGTGAAAATTGATGACACGTCACGGTGATATCTACTGGCAGTATCATGTTCTACGCGAAAATTAACGTCATGTCACGATGGTATCTAGCTATTGGCAGTATTCTGTTCTACACGAAAAATGATGTCATGTTATTACGGTGGTTTCTACTGATAGTATTCTATTTTACGCGAAACTTGACGTCAACGCGATGTTGGTGGTTGAATAAAGATGATTTATTACGTACCGTAGGACCACGGGTTGCGGAGGACCTCGGAGATCATGGCATAGGTGTCGACGAAGATGAACTTGGCGCGGGGGAGGTTGACGTTGAGCGTGTTCACCATGGACTTCACCTTGCTGTTGAAGGGGATGATGAGGTCGTCCACGTCCGGCGAGCACATGTTCGCCGGGTTCCTCGCCCGCATGTTGGGGATGCACGCCATCGACCCTACTCCGGCGATCACGAACCTCCGCGCCCCCAGGTTGTACAGCCTCTGCAATACTCATCGCAATCAATCACATAATTATCTAAGGATGCATTTAACCCCGCTGGTTAATCAATTGAGATTTGCTCCGGTCCAAAAAAAAAACACCTCAAGTTACCAATCTAAAAGAAAAACACCTCGAGATACGGTACCAAATTGTTTATGATAGTTAGATCTAGCTGTGAGGTACTGGTATCTCGAAATACTTTTTTTTTTTTGGACCAGAGCAAATCTCTAATCAATTAGCTGATTGATTATATTGATTGTTCGTTGCCGTACGGTGAGCTGCTTGGTGTACTGCTGCACGAGGAGAGTGGAGTACTGATCGCCGTTGTACTCGTTCCTGGTGTTGTAGTTGGGCATCAGGTAGTTGTTGAGGTAGTCGTTGCTGCCCATCCCGACGTAGAAGATGCTGCGCGCCAGCGACGGCGCCAGCTTGCCGGCGGCGCCGCCGCCCAGCTTGCCGGAGATCTGCTGCAGCGTCGCCTCGAAGTTCTTGATCTGCTGGTTGAACGGGCTGCGCCCAACCTGCACCGCATCGCATCATATCCACAGACAAAATTAATGCAGATTACTAATTAACTTGCTGAACTGACTGATGATGAAAGGAATGGTCAATCCGCTAATGATCAGGGTGCATGCGTGCTTGGGCAATTGATATGAGCATGTTCTTACGAAGTTCTGGCCGGTGTTGTCCAGGATGCCGGCGGCGGCGGAGGCGTAGTTCACGCCGTGGAGCGCGGCGTCGCCCGTGGCGTCGTTGTGAGATGGCAGCAGCGGCAGCCCAAGAAGCTCAGCTGATGAAAAATCCAACGAGACAATTAGCATACAATAATAATTTCAGTGAAGCTTACGGCTTAGCTCTGTTCTTGATCAAACATCTTCTTGTTTTGCAAAGTTTAAATTTATCTTTTGCACTGATAAATTTTAGCTATTACTACTACTAAGCTGGAGTAGGTACGTCACTAAAGATCAGTCGCGGTCAAGGACAGATCTGGCTAGTAATTAGTACTAATTTGTAAGGATGTCACTCTTGTTGCTGGTAAATTCTTATCAAGGACTGCAACTGCATATCCATCCATCCATGCATGCTGCACAGTGTACACACACTTCTGCATTTACAGCCATAGCCTCTGGAATTCCGGATAGAGTCACATGGAAACATTGATTCCCCACTCGCTGGTACAGTGCTAGCTGCTACTACTCGTCGATGAAAATTCATCACCATCATGTGTACTGCATGAGGTGAATCAATGGTAGGGCAGACCTACCCATGGGAGAAATTGAGAGCACTGCCATTATTACTCCATGGATCACTACGGAGGCCATATTGGATATGAGTTGAAATCTTTGAATGTGCACATGCAAGAGGGTGGTGAGTATTATAACTGCGGCACTTACTCTAGCTAGCTAGGATGTTCATACAAAGCTAGCTAACCAATCTAAATTTTGCAAGGACCATTACATGCACTGTGTGTGTGTGTGTACATGTTTGGGTTTCAATTAGGACAAGTACTATGTATACTACACATAATCTATGCTTCATTTTGGCATCCTCTCTAGTATATTGACTTGCATTGCTTCTTCAAGTAAAACAGAGGAGACAGCTATCCAAACATTGCAAACAATGAAATTGTAGATACCTACACAATTTTGTCCAGATACATATACAGATCGAGAAGAAGTGTAGGTTTCCTGAGAAATTAAAATATGATATGCACACCCAAGACATCCCGAATGGAACAGTGAAACACTTGATTTATAAATAAATTACTTCAACATTATACTAGCATTGAAACGAAATTTTCAAAGATTGTAAAACAAGTAGTAAACTGAAGTTCTCTTCCACAACAGAGTAGTTAGCTAAACACACTTCATTTATTATTTAATTGTAAGATTAACTCACTTAAGGATGTACAAGATTAATTAATCAGTAATTAATTATTAGAAGGTATTGCAGTGCACTAGCAGTAGCAGATTAAAGTTAGCATTTCACATACTACAACACCCATTGCTAAAAGCAAGTATAATGAACTAGAAGTACAATTACAAAGCCTTCAATTGGTTTAATTTGCAGCGTGGGCCCTTCCTCACATACTAACAACTCCCATTTCTAAGAGTCCATTGTAGCTGTTGTTATGTGCTTTGGATTCTACTTGGTTTGGAAAATCTTCATTAATTCCAGTAAGATTTTCTGTTAGTCATAATTCAAATGCTCATAACTATAACTATTAGATCCAAAAATGAAAATAAAATAGTTACTTTTGAACAGTCAGTACAGTACCAAAAGGAAACCAAAGATATCCCATCTTTCATCCTCTAGCTTATAATTAAGCCGCTACTAAAATTTAAATTCCAATACTAAATTTTAGAGTTGATTTTTTTTATCATAACTTATTTTCTAGCATATGACCGACTGTTTGACTACACACATAACTAAATATGGAAGAAGTCCTTTTTTTTTCTGAAAACACAAAATGAGTAATATTTCTTGCTAGAGCTATAGAAGTATTTGAACTTTATCATTTTCTTATTCGAAGAACCTTCCAAAGCGTTATAGCTTGCAAAACTAGTTTTAAGGGCCATTTTGTAGAGTTCCAATTCGGAGTGAGGTTGTGAAGCAGCGTAAACCTAGTTCCATCTCTCTAGTTCATTTTGTGAAAACGTTCCACCCAACGAAAGTGTTTGGCTTGGCTCAGCTCTACTTTATTTTTCTTGAGATGTGCCAAACAAGCCCTAAGTAATTTAAAAATTTACAACAAGATGAACTATGACGGCCCATATGTATGTGACATCCAGTAGAAGCAGCATATCTGCACTACTAGCTACTGCATATTTCTTCGGGAATACATATCTTTGTATTAAGCTGCATTAGGCAAAATGCAAATGCATGGAGCATATAGATAGATGGAGCTATGGGCGACGGCGACGCACCTATCTCGTCGACCATGGTGTAGCCGTTGGAGAAGCGGCCGGTTGGGCCGCCGGCGAAGTCGATGCCGTAGGGGAGGTAGTTGGCCTTGGCCAGCGACGTCATGTCGTTGTTGTTCCCGTTGTCCGTCAGGGAGTCCCCGAACACGAACATCGCCGGCACCGACGCCGCCGCCGCCGCTCCCCCTCCTCCTCCCACGCTCCCCCCGCCGCCGCCGCCCGGCCCCATCGGGAACGTGCCGTTCCACGGCGGCCGGAACACCTGCGCCGCCGCGCCGCCCCAGTGCCAGCTCATCACCACCACGACGAGCAGCATCAGCACGGGGTGGCGCGCCATTGCAGCGGAGCAGAGCTGCAGTGAGGCAGTGAGGAGTGTGAGCTTTAGCGCCTGTGCGTGTGTGTATATAGGAGAGGGGGCAGAGAGAGGGTTTTGGAGCGGTGAGAGCTAGCGCCTGTGGTTGGTGGGTAGATGGGGTGGGGGGAGCAGTAAATGTTGAGCCGGTGAGGTTTCAGTTTCACCACCACCTCTGCCATCTCTGGCGTGGCGAGTAAATGCATGGACATGGTGGAGCGAGCTGTGCGTCCCTCGGAAGCCGTGCACCATGCTGTGCACTGTGCACTGGTGCAGCGACAGTGAGGTGGATCACCGGCCGGCAAGCCACGACGACGAGACGCGGTGACCGGACCCGTGTAGCTGAAAGAGCTGGGCCGGGCCGAATTTCTCCCGAGGGGAGCCTTTTTTTTCTTTCTCGGAAGGAAAAAGTACACCGAAGGTCCCTCAACTTGTCATCGAGTTACAAAATCGTCCCCTAAGTGCAAAACCAGATATCCGGCGTCCCTTAACTAATCAAAACTGGTCACAATAAATCCTTCAATGGTCTTGACCCTGATTTTGTTCTACGTGGCGGCTAAATCAGCGTGGAATATTAATCCACGTGGAACCCACATGTTTGGCTGCCACGTCATCTCTCTCTTCCTTGCTCCTCTCGCTCTTCTCTTCTTTTCTCATGTTCTCTAGGCAAGCCGGCCGGTGGCTAGGGAGGAGGACGCCGGGGCGAGGCGGGAGAGGAGGAGGCGGTGGGTGACACGGCATCGGCCTCGTTGGAGATGAGCGCGGCAGCCTCACCCTCCTCGCCCGCGCGGGGCATGTGGCCACCGGGGCGCGCGAAGAGGGCCCTCGCCATGGCGTCGAAGTCAAGCGCGGAGACGGCGAGGTGGGCGGCAGCGGGTGTGGGGGGTGGGGATGGGAATGGCGGGGAAGGGGAGGGGAGCGAGTCGAGGGTGGCGGGGGAGACTGGGACGGGAAAGGGAGCACTGCGTTGGCGGCCGCCGATGCTTTCCTCTTCCCGCCGGCTGAGTCAGAGAATGGAGAGAGAGATGAGGAAGAGAGAGGAGGGTAAGACAAAGGGGGGAGGCTAATGTGGCCACGCTGACATGTGGGGCCCACGTAGGTCCCACGCTGACTCAGCCGCCACGTAGGATAAAACTGGGGTCAAAACCACCGAAAGACCTATTGTGACCGGTTTTGGTTAGTTAAGAGACGCCCGATATCTGGTTTTGCGGTTGGGGGACGATTTTGTAACTCGATGACAAGTTGAGGGACCTTCGGCGTACATTTTCGATCTCGGAATAAATCCACTTTGATCCCTTCAAATATACTACCTTGTTAAAAAAATGAATTCCTAGTTATGGGTAGGATTGGTCTTTTTTTGGATGGCGGGGTAGGTCTAATCTAACCCGTATCTTTCAACCGAAATACTTATCATATATTTTGAACCTCCAACTATTAAAATAGGTGTACTTTGACTCTCACGTATTATTTTAAGGGCGGTTTTCGTAGACGTGACTCGTTGACATGGTCAAACCGACTGAGTTAGCATGTGGGACCATATGTCATTGACTCTTGCTCTACCCCTCTTTTCTTTCTCTCTCTTCTCCTCTCTCTATTGCCCGACAGTGCATGATGGCCCTGTGACCGCTACAAGTACTCTCAACTCCGTCGCCGCGAGGAGAGAGAGCTTGTGGAAAGGCCAACGACGATGGAACGTGATTGCATGGGCCGCTTCATCTCCTTCAACTTCAACAGAACGACACCCGGAGAACCCCACTGCCTTGTCACCACCAATATCCATCCCTGTAAGGCTGGATCGCATGGCACCAAGTCATCGAGGATGGAAGCCATAGCACTGTGGCTGTATCCGCTCAGTAGAGATCCCGAACACCGCGACGTCGGCCTCCCCCTCCCATCGCTGCCACGACTGTTGCTCGTCATCGCGTGGGGAAGATGGGAGAGGAGGAGGTGACGGCAAAGCAGTGGTAGGAGGCTAGGAGCAGAAACTTGGCGGCTAGGGTGCTCACCGTTGTCTGGAGCTCGAGGAGCCACTGGCCACCGGGAAGGAGGTGCAGCGATAGTCAAAGCCAGTGCTGCGTGACCCCGTCACAGAGTTCGCTGGTGGACCCATCGTCATCATCGTCCAGGGAGGAGCAAGGCAGTACCCCATGTGGCAGCCGATGAAGCCTGTGGCTCCCATGACGAGGACGGAGATCCCTCACCCGTTGGCCCGCCTGACGTGCGCAAAGGCTCGCACATTTTTCTCCTAGGCGACGCCGCCCTAGGCAGTGGTGGAATGGGAGGACGTGTGGAGGGAGCGACACGAGGATTTGGGGGACCGCCTGCGATTCTAGGGTGGTGAAGGGGAGAGGAGTAGGAAGGCGAGGAGGAGCGAGAGGAGAGGGAGCGGAAGGACAAGAAGTGACGTTGGGGAGGGGTGGTTGTGGTGCATGGCGAGTCAGCGGTTTTGAAGGTCGTAGAACTGCAGCTTGATGGCCACCGCGCCGCTCGACACCCCTGTTGTGCCAGGCACGCTGGCCACCATGCACAACTGCATTGCGAGGCAAGAAAGAGGGGAGGGAGGAGAAAAACGAGAAAGAAAAAGAAGGGTTGAATAATAGCCATTGACATGTGGGTCCCACACGCTGACTCAGCCAGTTGGACCAGGTCAACGAGCCATGTCAGCGAAATTCGCCCCTCAATACCGCCGAAGGAAGTTAAATGACACCGATTTTAATAGTTGTGGTTAAAGATAGGGTAAATTGGAACCATGCTATTATAATTTTGCAAAGTTTGAGTTATGTCATCGGTATCTCAATGACATGTAGGACCCACTTGAGTCAATGACATGTGGGTCAGGATAGCATATCTCAAATTTTGCAAAATTATAATGTCATGGTTCCAATTTTCCCTTAAAGGTACATGGCATTCCTCTTTTTTTTCTCTAATTAAGGCCCATTTAGAAATGTTGGGCCTGGAAAAAAGGCCTGTACTGAGGGTGACGTCGACCTGTCGTAGGGGGGCCCACTGCCAGCCACACGGAGCCGCCGAGAACGACCACGCAGCTACCATCCCGACCCGACGCACCACCACCTCCCGACTCCCGTAAAACGGAACGGAGCCTTCGAGGCGGGGGGCCAGCGACCGACTCGTCCGTTAGATACCCACCGGGCGGCCACCCACACGCACGCGGCGCCTCTTCTTTCATAACACGCCACGGAACGGAAGCTTCCGCCTCCGATTCCACCACCACCACCACCACCACCGCCGAGCACGAGGAGGGGGAAGGTTTGGGCCGGGCGGCGGCGGGGGTTGGAGATCGAGGAGAGTCGCGTCGCGTAGCTGATCCGAGCCGAGAGGTGCCCAGGAGGCGCGGTGAGATGAGGCGGCCGCACGCGTGGTGCGACGGATCTACTAGCCCGGCCGCCTTCCTCCTTGCCGCCGCGGCGATCTGCGGCCAGTTCGCGACAGGTGCGTGCTGCGTTTCCTCGCTCTCTCTCTCGGCTCTAGGTTGTTGGGTGGGCGTCGGCGGCAGGGGGTGGATTACGTGGAGATCTGGTCGCGGATTAGGGATTCGTTTTTTTTATCGTTGTCCAGTTACAATTTAGGTTTATTGGGATTCGGGGAGACAAACTAGTTGCGAACAGTTTGAACTTGGGATGACGTTTTGAAGAGTTTCGTAGGAGGTCTTTGGATCTGAGCAGATATGGTTCCAATTAGTTGGGGACTTGTTAGACGTTGGATCCCAACTTCTCCTATCACCTCAAACTAATTAGCTTAGCTGATTTTCATACTCCTATAGTTGCCTAACCTCTGCGATTAAGTCCTTATAGATGAGAAGGAAAGAATTGGAAACTGCAATTTGAATTTGAGGTGCATTGTACCTTAAAGCAATAGTATTTTAAGATGAGAGATTTATGTGGTCACCTTGAATTACCGATGAATGTTATGCTTTTCATATCATCCTATTTAAAAGGCACATGTGAACCTCAAGAGTTTTGATTTTAGATACTGAAACATGCACAAAATGTTTGCAGGACTAGCTGGTGATACCCAAACATCCAAGGATGATAAGAAAGCCCAGTCGAAAGGTCATACTGGGCGGACAGTTTTGATTGTCCTCCTAGGAATTGGGGCAGTCGTCCTGTTGTCATTTTTCCTTTTCAAGTATTGGCAGAAGAAGAAAAGAGAGGAACAGCACGCACGTCTTCTAAAGCTGTTTGAAGAGGATGATGACATTGAGGTTGAGCTTGGTCTTAGAGATTGAAGGTCTTCATTGTACAGCAAGAGTATCTTGGCTGACAAGGTAATGTCTCTATGGATGTACAAATGATGAAAGGCTATGTACATTTTAGTATTTCCTGTATACCTTGATTCTGCGTTTGATTTGACCATAAATTCAATGTAAAGTGTGATGTTCAACAATTTTGTCCTAAAGTTGAATTTCGTTCTTTGGTAAATGAAAGTGACATCAATGTGATTGTCTAATGCCATTTCACTGCCTAATCTTGTCACGTGAGCTTCTCTGTTCTTTCTTACAAAGCTCTATCCATTGTTTAACTTTACAAAGTTGGATCTTTTATTAAATCCACAAAGTATAAACTTTTGGCTGGATACTTAGAAGTCTGACACTATTTGTGGCCTTGTAAGCCTTATACTTTCTTGGCGTTGTGTTTTGGCCCAGTGCTCTAGGTTGACTCAATACAATGCATTTTGACTTGACATATGCATTTTCTCTTGCTATACTATAGCATCCAATGTTTTATAACGAACCTTTTGATTACTGGCTATAATCCTTCTTATGCATTAGTATATGCAAGCACACACAAATAGATGGCGGCATATAAAAGTTCCTGAGGAAATAAGGGTTACTCCTTTACTAGTTTATGTCATCTATAATCTATTAAATGCATCGTGAGTTCAATTATCTTTACAGTACATGAGCATTATTTTCTCATACCTCAAGTTTTGATACAGATTTTCTCTGTTGCTCACAGGTTTTCCTGGCTGGTCCTCACAGCATTTTCATGTTATTGTAAAGAATTTGTTGTATTTAAACTCAACAGGCCTCCTTAGAAAGATCTACTGTATTTTAGTTTTTGGTGAGTGGCATCCACGATGAATGAAAACATGGGCTTTAGCTTTGAGGATGAAATGTGGAGGTCTGGAAAACATTATTTTCTGTTTTTAAAAAGGAATTGAGAATATAAAACATTGCTACAGCAGAAACCGACTCAATGATTGTTCTTCTATGACATGCTCTCCTGGTTGTATTGCACCAGCGCAATATGTAGCACTTGGGACGTTTTAGGTCAGAACTATTTTCTGTTTGCAGAATTTCTTTTTTTTGGTCCATTAGACATGCTAGAGGTTTCAGTTTAGTCTTTGCATCATGCTCCTGATGCAACGTTTCCTTTTCTGTTAAATGCTACAACAAATTTTTACACACTATCATGTTACTAGCTGCTGATGTTTCCAGTCATCTTGGGCTCTTGGCTGTTGCACCTGCAAAGATTGTTCTAGTTGTGACAGATTATAGTTAGGATTTTTAAAAATTCTATGTGGTCTTGAAATTCTACCAGAAGAAAAAACTGGCATAACTATTTCCCGTTAGCAGCACAACCACGGCCACCAGCCGAATTACGATTTTTTTTTATTTTTTAGACTTTTATTTTATTTTATTAATAGATATTTTCAAAAAATATTTCTGAAAACTGAACCTTTTGCTATTGTTGTTTTGTCATGCTAGCCACGGTGGCGTGGTAGGACAACACTGCCACACGTGAGCTGGGCATGGTGTAAAATAAAGTTATTTGGTCACACCAGGTTCAGATTTGAAAATACTTTTTAAAAAAGGTTTATTAATAAAATTAAAAAATAAAAAAGTCTAAAAAAATAAATAATTTCCCGAATTACCGAGAAAAGGGTAAACATTGGGTAATATTTTTCGTCTGAATTACCGAGAAAAGGCTAACACTGGGTAACTTCTTTGTCTTGTGAGAGTACTGATGGCCAAGGCTAACACTGATCTGAATTTGTTGTGCTTTCGCTGCCATATTATGTCCCTGCATGCTTGATGGTTGATGGAAATAGATGGTACGCAAACCTGTGGTGAACTGGTGATTTATCATTTATGGGATGTGCGAAGAAAATGCGTGATGGATTCACCGTTTTGCTAGGGTGAAAATGATCAAAATGGTCGGAAAATGTCTCAAGAATTTTCATAATCATATTTTTCTCGGGAACAGAACAGAATTGGAAATAACTATTGGAGAACTGGAAATGGAACTGTACAGACGGAAACTGATAATATACTGTAAAATCTCACATTTAACTGCTTCCAAAATAAAGGCTGTGTTCCGCTGCCGCTTTTCCCAACCCCTCTCGTTTTCCACGCGCACGTTTTTCAAACTGCTAAACGGTGCGTTTTTTACAAAAAGTTTATATATGAAAGTTGCTTAAAAAAATCAAATTAATCTATTTTTTTTAAAAAATAGCTAATACTGAATTAATCACGCGCTAATAATCCACCCCATTTTCCGGGATGGGAACGAACTAGATCACCGGATCTGTTCCCTATCCCTCCCACAGCATTGGGGCGTGAGAAGATGTAGAACACCCGCGCTCTTCCCTTTGCCCTCAAAAACATTGCAGAAGTAGACAATGAACGCAGATATAGGGTGGAGCTCTCTCTTCATTATAGATCTTATCTAAGTAAGAGCCAACCTTGGATGTCACACCCTGCCCCAGTATATGTAAGGGTCTTAGAAAGAGATAGACCTTATCTCTACTCCGGTTCAGATTGGCCCACAAGAAACTTATCTCCAATAGATTTGTTTCACAGCACGAACAACGGCGAACACAGCCTAGTCCCACAGATTGTGTAACAGGCCATTCCGGGCACACTAACCTAACCCAACTAGGACGCGATTAGTCCTGCAACTGCGCTAAATTCAGCCCAACAATGGCATATAGTTGGGCCCATGGACGCAATTAGGCCTGACAAAGCCCAAGAGTTGCGACAAATGCAAAGAAAATGAACCGCATTACAAAATGGGCCATCAGGCCCACAATATGAGCGGAATGGACCTAAGACAATTTAGACATGTTGAATTTTGGCCCACTCCCTGCCATTGTTTACTCGGTTACAGTTTGGGCCACCAGCTGAGCTAGGTCGGCCGAAATTAGGCCCAATATGAATCAAGATAGGCTGAAACTTGTGCACTATGTGGGTGTTATGGGCTGAAATTTGGCCTATGGTTACTGTGCAATAGTTAGGCCCAAGATTGGCATTTGATGGGCTGTACTGTGGCATACTCCCAATTTGCATAAGCCCAATTCATCCCTTGGCCTAAGCCGTGCGCCAGTCAAGCTTGACACTGTTGTCTCAAGCTCTCAGCTCTTGGCCTAAGCAAAGCTTGGACGCACATTAATGGGATTTTTTTTGTGCGAGCAGCTCAAGTACAAATGTGCATAGTCCTATATATTATAGATTCCATCATTAAATAGAGGGCAGGCTAAATACTGATAGCTGAATTCATACAAATTTTCTGTACAAATTAAATGAGGGGTGGTATTGAGGAGTAGAGAATGATTTTCTTTTCATATTACATGAAGTAACCCATATGCACCACCACGAATGATGAAAAGACACATAGATCGACGATGAAATATGACGTTTCTAAATTCCCAATTATCTTGGGTTGCAAGCTTATCATAGATGTTTAAGCGGGGTGATTAAATTATATGTCACACCTTAACAAGTTTAAAAGAATCTTATCATAGTGTTTTTAGTCATTGACATATATAAGTATGTATAACATATATTTTGTTAGAAAAAAATCTTGTCACGCTGTGACTTCAATCAAATATATATATCTGCTAAGTGATCAAACTCGTCTAATTTTAAACGTGTCACACTGCGACTGACAACCAAATTAAATACCCCCAAACAAAACAACACACATTGACTGTAATTTATAAGGGTTCTAACTTCATTAATTTAAGATGAGAAATAGCATTACAAACCACAAGTAATCGATAAAGTGCGGCACATCAAAACACGCACATGCCACACATTCAAGCCATAGGCCGGAGTGCCGGATCGACTCAATAATGAACTACTACCTCCTTCCCGTAAAAATTAAATTTTTAAGGAATTAATAACATATTAGGAGGATAGACAAATGACTACAATAATCCTATTTAATGAACATAGTACATGCACACATTTCATATATAAAATTGATTAAAAGGAATGTTGAGACAACGTGTTAGACATGGGATGGAAAGAAAGAAGATTACAAGGAAATGTAATCAGTTTAATGGGTCCCACATCAGTAGAAATATAATTTTTATGAGACAAAAATTCAAAGATAAAAATTCAATTTTTACGAGGTAGTACTTGACTGACTCACCTGGACTTGACTCAATAATGGAGTAGTTTGTTCAGTGATTTGCTGTTGAAAGTTGGTTAGGGGTATAATCGATTGAGTACCATTTTTTCTTTAATTCTTGCGATTAATTTCATCCATTCATGTGCATTGGAACGCCCAATCGCAATAACGATAAAGAGCAACAGAGGTGGCATAGATGTGAGAGTAAAGGAGGAAAACAAAAGCTACTGCCATCTATTTTAAGGTAAATTTAGTGAGATATGCGGAAAAATTAAATTTTCTGAGAAAAATAGGTTCATACATTCCTGAAACACAAAGTGAGATATATCACGAGGTATTACCACATATAGTTTTTCTTGCGATCGAACTCATTTAATCTTTCCATCAAAAAATATAAGACATATTTCTTTTGTCATCAAGATAAGAAACAATTTAACTCACTTGCCATGTGACAAAATCAAGGAACTATATACATACACGCAATCAATAAGTATTAAGATGATTTTTTTGTCAACAATTTAATTTAGCATAAAGAGATTATAAATATGCCTTGTACTTTCGGAAAAATCCAAAAAATAAAAAATGACCTTAGACTTTTGGATAGAGGGAGTAGTAAAAAAAAATTGTACCACTATGTGATATAAGCACAAACATCACCTTTTTTTTTTTACAAATCCTATATATAATGGTACAAAATGTGGTTACTAACAAAAGGACAAAGGTCATATGTCTGATAAGTAGATAATTGGGAAGTTCTTTCCACCATCATCAATTTAGACGGGCCTCTTGTTAAATCATGCTTTGACGGTTTGTCATGAACTGTCTATATATATATGATGAAGCATCCAAGATGAACTTATTGAAACCATGACCTAAAACTTATGTATAAGTTAGAAGTTGGTTTTTTCTGAGATGAAGTGCGAGTAGAGAGAACGAAAAGAAGCTAGGAGTTGCGTGGAGCTTTTTGGAGGAAGAAATAACTGTCCATTGGGTATCTATCCCACAAACACCTAAATCGGTGTAAGCTACTTCCTCCGTTTCAGATTATAGATGTCTTAACTTTGGTTAAATTTAAATTGTTTCAAATTTAATTAAGTTTATAGATAAATATAATAATATTTACATTACCAAATTAGTTTTATTACATTAATAATTAAATATATTTTTATAATGAATTTATCTTGGGTCAAAAATATTACTATTTTTTTCTATAAACTTAGTCAAACTTGAAGCAGTATGACTTTGACCAAAGTCAAAACATCTTATAATCTGAAACGGAGGGAGTATAAAATAATTAACTACTTGAAACAAATGACGGAACATTTTCCACATACAGTTTTCGTTTGATTATTCTCTTTCCTCCATCAGATCTCATCACCTCACTGAAACCCATGTGCGTTGTGCCACTACATTGGCCGCCTACTATGTAATTGGTATACAGAAGTGCTGGGCAGTGATCAAAGCGCTAGAAAACACAATATTTACACCTTGTGATTCTAAAGTCACGATTACTAGCTGAGTTGAAATTTCAAATGCTAATTAATTAAGTTGGGTGTTTTAACTATTTCAGGAGGGTCTGAATGCTATGAGTTGAAATTAAAGGAAATTTCCAACGGCAAGATAAGATGACTTGCCGTAAGAGCTTTGTAAGCTCTTAACACCTCCAGGAAGAACCTGCGGAGAGTCAGCAATATACAGTCATTTAGTCATTTATGCCATATTATTTGCCCTGGAAGAAAAATATCCATCACCGTTCATGTGGGCCACAAGTCCCGCTCCTGTTGGGCCAGCCTTAGTGGTATGTTGGTCGGAGGGCCCCACCTGTCAAGATTCAAGCTAGAACCAGCTCCACGCGGACCCATGTTCAGGCATGCAAATTTATTTTCCTTAAAAGAGCTTAAACAAGTACTAATTTCTAACACAATTTTATTGCTTGACCTTACAGGCGGAGCCAGAAATTCAAGTAGAGCTAACTAATGAGATATGATTTCATCAAAAAAATTATATGGTAATTTAATAAGGTTTATACTATAATTATGGAGGCAAGCCTAAGCTATCCTAGGCTTTCCTCTGCCCTGCTTGACTTTATTACTCTTTGTGCACGTTAATAGCATGATTTGAAAGGGGTATATTAGATTATAAACACACACTTTAAAAATATTTAGGTAAACAACTAATAAAAACAATGGATGAGGAAAACTAACAAAAATATAATTGCGTTGTAAGGTTACCTCATACTAAGTGTGGGAGAAAAAACCCAGCTAGCAAACAATGAAGTATACAACGAGTTGTGAAAATAGATTAATAAATGTTGTAGGGCAAGCATGAGTGTGGGAGGAAGCCCAACTAGCAACTTGCGGGGTAGACAATGAGTGATGAAAATGGACCAATGGATGTTGTGAGGCAAGCACGACAAATACCCCCCTCCCCCTAACGACGCATGGGGGATGCAATAGGAGGTGAAGATAGAATGATAAATGACGATGTAAGGATACCATGTTCCGTGCATAGGAAGGACCGGAGAGGATGCTCACTTGTTGACATGTTGGGGATGCAACGGAGGGTGAGGACATATCGATGGATGGCACTATAAGATCACCCGATACCGATATGGTGTGTGAGGGAATACACGGTGAGGAGGTCTATCTAGTAGTGTATGAGAGATGCAATGATAGTAAGGACAAAACAATTGATGGTATTACAAGGCCATCCTAGATGGCGCCGCCGCTTGAGGAGAAAACTAGGGAGAATGCCCACCTAACGATGGGTGGAAAACACTAAGGAGGGGAGAGGGGCCCACCTAATGATGCGTGGAAAACACTAAGGAGGGGAAAGGTTCACTATTAGCGTGCGGGAATTGGCAAGACACAGAGGATTGCATATGGTTCATGTGACAACCATTAAAATCTTCCAGTAAATATATTTATAATTGTTATGGTATAAGATTATTATTTATGTTTTACACTCCTTTCAACATGTGAACATACATTATTTTATTATAATATCTGCCAATTTGCAAATTAATATTCCTTTGCTTAGTCTCAACAAATAATGCCCTACACATATACTCTATCCATAAATTTGTACTAGCTATGTACAAACTCATTAGCTAGGAAAAAAGTTGGACACATTGATGCTGACATTTTTTAATGGTGAAATGCTAACATGTGGTGCAATGTAAAATATAACTTGGTTATTGTTCCGTGCGATTCACACTTTAGAAGTCTCGTCTCACGAAAGAATAGTCTACTATTTGATCGACACTCTGGATCAAACATCTAAAAAGCTACAAATTACCGAGATGACATGGTTCCAGACAAAATAATTAAGAATAAATATACTTATTTCGATCGGCCATTATAATATACGAATTATATATTTAAGTAGCGATGGGACACTCGAGTAACAAACATATTGCTTCGAGCAAAAATGTGTCACCGATTGTTTCCTAGGGTCCTACTAATTCTATCAACCCTTGAAAAAAAGAGAGAGAAGAGAGTAAGAGCACCATCTTTTTCTTATATTATTAGCAACTTAAAAAATAATTTATGGATCAAATTTTTATATACATGCATGTCTCTAGCGATTTAAAAGCAATCACTCTACGGGGGTGTTTAAATCCAAGGGTGTAAAGTTTTGGCGTGTCACATCGGGTGTTATATAGGGTGTCGCATAGGGTATTCGGGCACTAATAAAAAAACTAATTACAGAATCCGTCGGTAAACCGCGAGACGAATTTATTAAGCCTAATTAATCCATCATTAGCAAATGTTTACTATAGCACCACATTGTCAAATCATGGAGCAATTAGGCTTAAAAATTCATATCGCAAATTAGTCGCAATATACGCAATTAGTTATTTTTTAAGCCTATATTTAATACTTCGTGCATGTGTTCAAATGTTCGATGTGATTTAGTGAAAAATTTTAGGGTGGGCTAAACAGGCCTATATTGATGTGTAATTTTTCTGCGCGCTCGCGAAAAAAAAGCAAACACTGTAAAATAAACTATAACGAGAAAAATCACAAAATTAAGTTTAAAACTGACTTTATAATTTAAAGTTGGTTTATATTTATATGTGTAGTATAAACGTTGGCCAAATAACGGGGCTGTAAAAAAAGAAGAGACGCGCTCCACTCTCTAGAAGCGGTCAGGCACAGGACTCCAATCATCTGAACTGGCAAGACGCACACAGCAGTGAGGAGAGAGAGCATCCAAAGCTCCCTCTTCTGGGTTTGTCTCTTCCTCCTCACCACCCACCCCCTTCTCTTTCTGCTAGCTAGCTGCTGTACAGACAACATCACAACACTGGAGAAAGAGCAAGCAAGCAAGAACAGAAGCAGCAGCAGCAGCAGCAGCATGCAGGCAGCCACAAAAGAGAGCTGCTGCCAACTCCTACACAGCCTGGGTTCTCCTCCTCTGATCATTGATTGATGCAAACCCAGCTATTACCTTCCCTTTTTATTTTATAGCTACACACACACACATATATATATAATCCCACCCATCCCAATACTTGCTTCTTGGTTCTTGGCACCTCTCTGTCCTTTTTAGATTTCCTTGGATTCCATTCAGGCCTCACCCCCCCCCCCCCCATAGATAGATACATCTCCTCTCTGATAGCTTCCTGGTTGTTTTGCTCTTCTTGGTTTTCTTGATTTCTTGGGTTCTTGGCTACTGGGGCTGTCTCTCTATCTTTCTTGATCCTGGTTTGCGCCGAAAGACTGCAATTTTCTTGAGTTCTTGTTGCTGCTGGATGCCATGGATGAGAGGATCCCACCACCGGCCTTCTTCCAGTTCTTGCCATCCGGTGCTCATTCTTCTCCCCATCATCAGAGCCCCTTGAGGTCTCCTGCCTCTGAGAGGGAGAGGTACGCATGCTCCAACTTCTGTAAAGTTTTGTTTTTTAATCTATCTGATCTTATTGGATTGAATCATTCCGAGTAGTATGAGATTTGATTCTAGCTATTATGCGAGATTTGTGCTTAATTTTGACCGTCTTGGTGTGATTTTGGCCTTGATCAATGATGATCCCGGTTGTGGCCTATAATGATTTGCCAAGTTGGGGATTTTTGGTGTCCTGCTAATGACAGATTTGTGGCTGTGTTGTTGACTGTTGGAAGCCATTAGGAGTAAGTAGGCATTATATATTTTGATTGGACACTGATAGCTGTAAAGGCCATGTGCATGGTGCTCATTGTTTTAATTAGGTCATGAATTCTCACCATTGTTAAGCTTGTTGACAGATCATTTTTGTTTTAAATGCTTGGAGTAACCTTTCTCCCTTTTTGTGCTTAAGTAAATCCACACATGTGATGATTGTAATTCAGCTGACTGATGAGGTTTTTGTTTTGTAGATATCTTGCTGAGTTACTTGCTGAGAGGCAGAAGTTAGCCCCGTTCATGCAAGTTCTTCCGTTTTGTAACAGGCTTTTAAACCAAGGTTTATTTCCTCTGCCCTTTTGGATTTTTTCTGTGTATTTATCTATTCCTATTTGTTTGTATAGTCTGAATGTGAGTGCCTATCAGGGAAGTGCATCCAACCATTTGCTACTTTTATCTATTCTTCTAAGCTGCTACTCTGTTGATCTTGGATAATCTGTTCCTTGTCAATAAGAAATGCCATCGATGTTCATCACATTCACACCAAAATGATATTATTTATGTAAACATAGGAATGCACACAAGTGATATCATTTTAAAAAGCACAGAAGATACCCATTGAGATGAAAACTAAATACTATTAAATTATTTAGTCGTATCATTCAGCTGGGATGCTTCAGATTCAGTTCTGCATTTCAATATAAGATAACACAGAATTTGAGTTAGTCAATTTCTACATTCTAGCTCCTTTCGCTATTGTTTCTGGTGTTACACACACTGAAAAAAAATATTTCCTGGATATTTTCTCCTTATTTGATGTGGCATAATCAAACTAACAAATCTTATATTGGCTCCTTTTGTCAATGCAGAGATTTTGAGGGCATCTTCTTTGCCACCTAACCCAAATTTTGTTGAACCTGAGAGAGTCAATCATGGTAGCCCATTAAGGTTAACTGGCCACCCTATGAATGGTCAACCAATGGATCTGGAGGGATGGTCAGGAATGCAAACAGAGGTAATACATATTCATACAATCGTCTGTTCATTGGTTCTGCATGTGGGACCTGCCTTATCATCTGTTGTATATATATCATGTACACCAAGACATAGTGATCGGGAAAAAGTGTTAACTTAGTAGGCTGATATATATCTTCTCTGCTTTAAAAAATATTTGTTTTTGGATATTACATTTTCAAGCATACATATAACCTGCGCTGGCAACTCATGTTTCTTGCCCATCTAAGGTTTTTTACTCTTTTTTTTAGAAGCTAGAGTGACCGGTGAACTTAGCCTAAGCCGATTCTTGATAAACTGTTTAATTCCAAATAGGCAACCCTACAAAAAATATATTTATAGTGGGCAAATGATAGGAATTATTTCAACAGCACTAATTTGATTTACTCTCATTTTACTATTATGTAGGAGAAACAGGAAAAATGGGTCCTAGTTATTGAAAGATGGCTTCTTCCATCTTATTTTCTGTTTTAAGAAATGTGCAACAGTGCAAGTTTACTACTTACTTAGCAATGATAACTATTGGATTTTAATATTAGGAACAGCTTATTCCACCAATGGACATATTATATTAGTGTTTGGCAAAACCTCATTCCCATAAGCAATGCTGGTTTCTGTCGTATAATCCATGTGCGATTGCCATTTTCTCCAAAATCTCGAGCACTGGTTTGCTTATATTTATAAGTGTTTGTTTTCAGCAGATGGGGGTACTCCAATCGCCCTCCATGGGCTGGAATGTTGCTCCAGGAGTTGCTGGAAGCCCTGTTGTTAAGAAAGTTGTCAGGATTGATGTTCCTGTCGACAAGTATCCCAATGTATGTACAGCCTGCATTAAACTATAGTTATTTGGAGCTTTCTTTTGTATGCACTATAACAAGTCCAAATCATTTATAATCTTTTGTTATGGTTAGTACAATTTTGTTGGTCGATTGTTGGGACCACGAGGAAACTCCCTGAAAAGAGTTGAAGCTACCACCCAATGTAGAGTCTATATTCGTGGACGGGGTTCAGTGAAAGATTCTGTTAAGGTAATTGAACACAGTTAGAACTGACATGCTATAGTTGCCCATTACTTGTTATGAAAAACTGGAACCTTTTAGGGCCACTTCTTTTCTGTTACTATACTTACTATGCCCATAGAGATATAATATAAATTTAGTATGTCTGGTTTGTAGTTAAACCAGCTTATAATTATAAAATTAGTATCGCTTCATATAAAACATTGGGTTGGTCCTGATTGATAGAGCACTGTATATTCTAAGAAAGGCCATCTAATTTACCTTTCACAGCACAATTTTAATGGCTCGGTCTGAAACTTTGACTAGTTATATTTCTAGTTTGTTAAGCTGCAATCTGGGGTTTGTCAAGATTGATCCAGTGCATTAGCCAGTATAAGGAGCCCAGAACCCTATTTTGTGTAGGATAGATCTGCCGTTCCTATGTTTGATGCATTAGTGATATCTCACTCATCCTGTAACTTTTATAGTAGTATAGTTTGGTTTGACTCCGGAGGTGTATATAACAGTGGATAAAACGAAGGCATGTTGTAGTAGATTGACTTTATCTAGTCTCATGTGCCCTGGACGGTGGAATTATTCATGTGCGTGAAGATTTTCGCTAAGAAATACTCTTGCATAGTTGCTTCTTTGGAATCCGTTCCGTTTTGTTATGATTGGCACAGATATCCATGCTTACTCTTAATAAGCTTGCAAACTTAACTGTGATCCAAAGATTTTGTCAAATGCATTCTCATGGCTGACTCTCAGTCTTGCATTCAAACATTTTGATTGGTCAAATATGTAGGTTGGAATTTTTTGATTATGTAAGAGCCCATGAATAGATAAGAAAAATCCTAGTTTCTAGAATCTTTATTTGACAGAAGCATCACCCTCCTTGTGTTTGCCAATTTTTCCATCTCCTGACCATGAAACATCAGCGGAGAGGGGTTCTGAAAATATTTTTTATTCGTAAATAGGAAGACAAGCTTAGGGATAAGCCTGGCTATGAGCACTTAAATGATCCACTGCATGTACTTGTGGAAGCTGAGTTTCCGTCTGATATCGTTGATGTGCGACTAAACCAAGCCGTGGCAATCCTGGAGGATCTTCTCAAACCAGTTGTATGTACCCTTCCTCCCTACCTGTTTCGAGTTGCTGCTTTATTGATTCTTGCGTTTTTTTACTTACTACTATTAAATCGGTAGTACCTATCTTGCTAACTAGAGCTATTATCAGGATGAATCCATGGACTACTACAAGAAGCAACAGCTGCGAGAACTGGCAATTTTGAATGGCACTCTAAGGGAGGAGAGCCCAAGCCCCCACCTTAGTCCCAGTCCCAGTGTATCCCCCTTCAACTCAACTGGGATGAAACGCGCTAAGACAGGACGGTGATCGGAGATCGCGACATCTGGAAATTCGATGCCTGAGCTGATGATGAGCTGAACATACTGCAAACCTGTTCTACTGCTGGAGATGATTGCTGATGCAAACAAAGGAAGGAACAGCACGGCTGGCATTAGGCCTTGCCTTGATTTTGTGCGCTTGACCGCAGATATGTTGTTGGATGGAAGAAAGGAAATCTATGTGAAAGTGATATGTCTGCTCGTGGGCTTGTTGCTTGCTCATATTGTTGTTTATTCTTTGTGTACCTGGCTCCTAAATATTAACATTATTTTGTTTTGGATTAGTTAATGCAGTTGATGGGTGGTTCTTAGATATTGGGATTCAAGTGGTGGACAATAATCAGGTCTGGTCTGTACAAGGAGTAGGTTGTGGGGTGTCAAAAGGTTGCTGTTCCAGTGGACAACTGTGATTGATACAGTTCTCAATAATATTATTTGCATTGGTTATTCTTTTATATTCGTGTCTTTTCTCCATTTTATCAGTGATTTCAGTCCAGTCAATCTGTTTGACAGGGAAAGTTTTGCTGCACCTGCACACTTGTGTTGAAAACTTGTGTTGAAATGTACAAAAGAATTATGTTTTAATTTTATAAGTATTACTCACTCCATCTATAAATCTAAGGGATTTTGGAATTGTTAGGATGGCTTAAACCTGATAGGAAAATATGCATGCACCTCTTAACTGGTGGATTTTTTTATTGATTACACAAGAGGGTTGCGTAACATTTCATTAAGGAGGAAGAGAAAAACATTAACAGGAAAGGAGCTTAGACTAACCTAACCTCACCCGAACCACCAATAGACCTTAGCCTTTATTTTCCTCTGGCAAAAAAAAAAATCTAGTATTGGAGGTGACATTTCCTTTCAACTAATCTGAATAGTCTTCTGTCTAAATTCGTTGTACTAGAAAATACCCCATTCAATAATTGTTTTTTTTTACAGGGAAAGTACATAAAAAACGCACCCAACTAAAAATAACTTCACCTAAGCCGGTGGACAAATTTTGACTGGCTCAATAGGTCTACTCGAGTGAAAAAAAAAACTTTCCCAGGTCATGAATAAGATTTGACAGAATTTGTGAGTTATATGTGGTGTACTTAGATTTGGCTATGGTTTGCATAGAGTCGACAAGTTTCTGTTAGACTGGGTGTTTTGTATGCTACTCCCTTCGTTCTAGGTTGTCTAGTAAAGTTGAAGAGTAAAATAAAATGACACTTTGATGTTCTTTGGAGTTTACTTAATTGAAAAATATCATACCTAGCGATGCAACTGCCGGTTAGCAATAAATGCATAAATGCAACGGTTGGATATATATTGTAAAAGTAGTACTTCAAAATTCTTTATATTTATGGATGAAATTCGAATCCCAAATCATGTATTTGTGTACGGAGAGAGTAGATTACACCCACTTGTAAGTTAATGTAACGTGTGTAACCCAACATAATTTACTCAGAATTATAATACTCCCTCTGTCCCATAATAAGCACAGTTGTAGGTTTTAGTGTCCAACTTTGACCATCCGTCATATTCGAAATATTTTTATGATTAGTATTTTTGTTGTTATTAAATGATAAAATATAAATAGTACTTTATGCGTGACTTAATTTTTAAAATTTTTTCATAAACTTTTTAAATAAGACGGACGGTTAAACGTTAGGCATGAAAACTTATGACTGCACTTATAATACAACGGAGGGAGTAGCATGGAGGGCAAGCGACAAGTCAAACAGAACGCACCTTGCTACCGAATGCATGAACTGCAATATCAAAGTACTCCCTCCGTTCCATAAAAAACTAACCTAGTACCAGATGTGACAAATTCTAGTACTACGAATCTGAACATATATATGTCCAGATTTATAGTAGAATATGTTACATCCGATTCTAGATTCATTTTTTATGGGACGGACGGAATACTCCCAGAGTCCAGATTACTTACCTCCCTTGCCTTGCAATGAACATGTCTCTTTGCGTGGTAATCATGATCAGTGCACAATTATACTATCATGCAGAGAAAGCATGCCCCATCATTTCGTAGAATCATACTAGTACACATGCCTTTATTGGCATGTCGCATGAACCCTGTGCCCTTTGACAGAGCTGTTTCTCCCATCTCTTGTATGTGGGTGAGAGTGTGTCACTCGCTCATCATGGTTTGGTGCTGAACCATGGATTTTCCATGATCGATGGTGCACCGGGCTCCGCCATCATTCCATGGCTACACGCCATTACTGGGCGTTGGTGCTTTTGTTTTGGGCCATCACGATGTTTGGTTACATCTGGAAGAAACTCCAACGGAAACAAAATGCTTTCAATCATGCATGGAAGCCGATGATGGCCCTGCCCTACCCTGCTTTATTGATTCTACTGTTTTTGAGAAGTGCTATTGAAAAGTATAATTCATTTTAGTGTTAATTTGTGGTATCTTGTAATATCTCAATACTAATAAAAAAAATTCCTTGTGTGTACCATTGAAAATTTGCCAATTCTTTATATGCCCTTGAGTTTTACTCATGCTCTTGCATACCTTCGAAAGTTAGTTTTGATCCCTTCCAATAACCTTTCCGTCAGTTGACCATTAAATTATTATGAAAAGAATATATTTTGCTCTTTGGTATATAGAAACATATAAAGTATATTATTGAGTACCAAAATTTGTTCTATGAAACTTTTATATTCATAAGTTTGTTATGCAATATATTATTTACGACAAATTTAATTTTTTAATATGACATGAAAATTAATACATTATTTTACATTATTAAAAAATGTATATGTAGCATATTTTGTTGATAATTAGTACAACATATTTATTGTATAAGACAAATCTATTTATATGCTACATAAAATATATTTAATAACTAATAAATAAATATTTTATGCCATACAAAATAATTTTTTATAAATAATATCCCACACAACATTGTTATTCATTTATGATGCATAGTTGGTTTCGTAGTAAAAGCATGCGTGGGTACATGATTTTACCCAGTAGGTCCAATTAATGCATCAAATCCATAATCTATATTTTCAATAAAATTATAGCCCACTAATAAATATAAGCTTAACATGAAACCATGCCACATCATCACCCACTAGCTATAATTACATATTTAATCTCATGCAAGTATACAATATTATATATAATTTATTTAATTCTACAAATCAACATGCAAGCATATCTAATCATCATCCCTCACATCATTTGCACAATACTTTAACAAATCTATCTATCATTTTTATAATATTTAACATATATTTATCAATATGTTTCACATTAAAACTCGGGTATCGTTTGTTTGCTTCATGATAAGTACTCATAAACCATGATGTTTCACGTTTTTCTCTTTTTACTCCTAATTTGATTGTCGAAAAAAATATACTAAGAATTGCTTAGTGATTTCCGCAGCAAAGCGCGGTGAATCACCTAGTTAAAAAGATTTGTGTAACCTCGTAGTTGATATAAAAAACACAAATTGTCCATCTATATAACATTATCTAAAAAGGCATCCTCCTTTTGGATAAAACACTTTAGCTTCCACTACGCGTAGTTCACAGTATTCCCTCCAATGGGATCTTAAACCTTAATTAGCAAGTTACATGCCGTCCTTTTCAAGGAACCTATTGCCGAGTTAAGATTAAGCTTATCGTCGGACACATCTTTAGCAACAAAGTGAGAGAGATTGACAGGGGAAAAAAAGGGACATTTTTTTTGTCTTCAACTGAAGCACAAAGCCGTTTAATATGCCATGCATGGAAGATAATGATCAAATCTTGTCGAACAAGGTTCATAAAAGTTACACTTTTGCAAGTTAATTAAGCTACTAAATCAGAGTGGATGACATACCACAGAAGCAGTTCAGTTCAGGCTACAGTAAAACGACTATAAAATGGGCGTAGCCACGCTAAACAAATACTGAAGATCTGAGACCACGAGCCTGCAGAATACATCAAGTACGAATCAGTCAACTTAATCGTGATCACATCACAAGCATCGCATCCTAGCACATGGTTGGTGCAAATCAGAGGCATTCGCTAACACCGAGCATATAATATGCAGAGAATTTTATCATGATTCGCCAAAAGTTTTTTTTTTCTGAAATCACAGGCAGAAAAACACATGTGCCCTTTTGCACTAATCTCGCCGCGAGCGACTTACCAATCTGCTTTGAACTTCGCTCCGGAAAATTTGCATCAATCTCACCAATCTGTTCGGCAGGCCAATGGCTGCGGCTGCGGCTTCGCAAAGTGAGTGCTGCACTGTTCGTGCGGCTGCGGGCAGCCGTACAGGCCCATGGAAGCAGCGCGGGGTCCATAGGGGAGGGAGTGGTGATTCCTACCGTTCCCCGAGAGGCCGGCGCGTGCGGCGGCCTGCGCCGACGACGGAGGAGGAGGGCCACGGATTTCCCGGCGCCCTCGACCTCGCCGCCGGCAAGGCAGCCCCGGCCTTCGCTCTCCTCCCGCCGCCGCCATCGCTGCGGCGCGTCTCGCCGCTCACCGCGTGCATCGCTTGAAGGGGAATCCAAGCAGGCCCATATGGCCCGGCCTGGCTCAAGTGGGCCGGATAGGCCCAAATAATGTTGGGGCCCGAGACTTGACAATACTGGGCCAGAGTATTGCTCAAGCGGTTCCTTCCTCGCGCACACGTTTGAGCCATGGACAAAGAGAGAGAGATTTCTCTCTTTCTGTGCATGCACGTTTCTCGAACGGTTAAACCGTGTAATTTTTTAAGAAAAGATCTATAAGAAAGTTGTTTTAGAAACATCGTATTAATCTATTTCTTAAGTTTAAAATAATTAATACTTAATTAATATGTTAATGACTCACCTCGTTTTACATGTATTTTCAATCTTATTCTTTCTCCTCTCAAACACTCTAAGCGAAGGAATTGGTTTGCACCGGTTTTTGAAGTTGGCAGCAGACGTTACACCCGATTTTATGGTTGAGGGATGCGATTCGATCAAGTGCAAGAGATGAGAGAGGTAAATTAGACATACTCCCTCTATCACGAATGTCGAAGAATTGGGCCGCAATTGGCCTATCTAGGCCCGGTGAAATATCTGTGATAGAATTTGTTTTCGTTTTTTTTCCTTTTATTTTACTATGGTGTCATCTATCTTTTCATTTTTCCCTCACGAATTCTGAAATTAAACTTCAGTCCATGGTTGATCCCCATTCTCCAACTGTCTTGGAAAGTGTATTAATATTAACATTAGGGACACCCCTATGAATCCAAATCAAATTCGAAGGGAATTGGGTGTACGTTTGGTTAGCCAAACAAGCTCAGTCCCAACCCTCCACCTAAGATGGTGTCTATGACATTAACTACATTGCCATATAGGGCTTTTAGCTTATGTGGCACTATATTAAATAAGAGAGAGTGTATGAAGAGAGGAAGAAACTGGGTCTCATGCAAGACACAGCTTCAACACGAGAACCTATGCACTAGACACTATCAAGTTTTGCATTGGGAGAGAAGAGTGTCTTCATAGTAGATGAAGAATAAATATGATTAGTAGAGAAGAGAGATAATGTATTTATTAATGGCCCACTTTAAAAAACCATGGGTTGTAGAGTGTAGTTTCTATTATGATACCTTATTGACATGGCACCATAAACACTGTTTATGGACACTATAGGTTGGGACTGCCCTAATAATATGCATTTCATGTATTTCATCAATAATTATGGACAGTTCAGTCCAACCACTAGTCATAAAAAGCAGAATTAAATAAATTATATTTGTTCGCGATATTAAAGCTATTTATGTTATAGTATGTTTGGTGGTCTCTCTTGCACCAGCATTGACGAAACAGCTATAATCAATTCGAAGTGTTTAAATTGCATTTACTTCATGATACACGTCAACCACGTTCACAAGAAAAAAAAAAGAGAAGCTATTTCCAATTGCTGTGCAAAAGTACAAAACTACCGAACCAAACATTGCATATAGTCAATTTTTTTTCTCCCATCTATAGGAGTACACGTCAGTTACAATCACAATATTTTTTTTTGAAGAAAATAAAAACTTTGTCCAAATTTTGGGCAAAACCTTTTCCTTTTTGACTCGTACACTTTATCTTGAGATATCCAAAACTTGGGAGCAGGGAATTGCACCCTGGCACAGCATTGGTCAGCGAGGTGGGCCCCATCCCATCCACTGCCACGTCAGCGCCTCTCCTTGCCGACCAAGTTCGGCAGAAATAGTAGGAGGTTCAACTAACAACGTCCCGGCTTTTAAGATGGCCTCCGAATAATCGAAGCCGGAGAAAACAAAAATCGTTTTCACCGAATTTCTCTGACAGTGACTCGTATAAAGGATTGGGTGGTGCCTGGAAATTCGGCCATTCAATTTTGTTCTTCTTTGGTCATTTTTGTTTGTTTCACTAGGAGTACTAAACATGATGTGAGGCGCTGCCAATAACACGTATATTTGTCACGGTGACCAGTAATATAAGTGTGGACGGTTAATTCTACGTGGCAGTTTTTCTTTGGAAAGATGTGGTTTCGTCGTGGCATTGTTTCACCATCTCTCTTTTAAAAACGGTTTTGCTATAAATCTGTTGACAAATTTCTTCCTCAGAATTTGTCGATTTTTGAACCGCTTGATGAACCTCGGGATTCGTGCTTTTATGTCGACGCTTTAATTTGTTTCTTTCGACGTTCGCCGGCCGCTGGCCACAGGTGTGGCTCATGCACGCGTAGATGTCTAGATGACAGACAAAGGGCAAAGATAAAGCGGCAGGGCATAGCCGAACATGCATGCATGAATGATGGCCTCCGCACGTAACGTACAAACATACATTGCGAGTTCGTAATCCCTCTTTCACGTAGGCAGTGCCAAACATAAGTTTTCTAAAGTTACATCTCACTTATATGCAAGTTATATTATAGTTACAGTGTAGTTATACTGTAATTACAGTGTAATTATTATATTTACAGTGTAATTACATGTAAATTACAGTGTAATTATTATAGTTACCGTGTTGTTATAGTACAGTTACAGTATAATTATTGTAAGTTACAGTGTAATTACAGTACAATTATATTGTATTTACATTTGACAAATTTTTAAGAGAAAATTTGTCGACAAATGTATAGGTAGTCCCTTTAAAAAAAGCTATGTGCCTTTTTGAATTTCTATTTTCTTAAACTACTACTCCATTTTAAAATAAGCATGTACGTATTTTACATGGTTTTTAAAATTATACGGCATTGTCATTTCATCCGGTTGATTATAAACCGTTGCAGCTCATATGACTTAAAGTTGTAATGGTTTTAGGGTAAAGTAAGAGCTGAACTCTATCCTAAAATATCTTTTAAATAGAGAGTCAAACATGTTATAATCGCATAACGACTTAACATATGCAAAGAGGTAGCGCTTACTGACGATGTCAACGTTGTAATATGTTGGATCGGAAAGAAGCGCACATAATCAAAGTCCTGTAGATGTAGGCTTCGACTAAACTATGCTAACAAATGTCATGTATTTTCGTGTCATCATCTTACATGCTCTTGGGTTATTAATAACTGAAGTGATCGAGAAGATTAGTCGTTGTTTGCTATATCGACTAACTTTTATAACATGTAAAAAAGTTTATAATGATTTTATATGTGTGTTCTTAGCGATATAAAATCAAATTCTGAAATAAACTTAAATGAAATGTGTATGTACTGTATTTCAAAAAAAAACTAAACACATATTAATGATAACATTGAATATTCATATGGGTAGTTCAATTACTAGTTAAACTTTTTAAATATATATATTGATTTTACTGGAATCAAGGATGTTTTATATCTTAGAGCGAAAAGAGTTAAAAAGGAATCTTTTCTCTTATTATCTTTTACCCATTTGTTTTGAGTATTGACTGTGACATGGTTTTTATATATACTTACGGCCAATGGTAGATTGAGCATGGGGTGGCAGGGGCTTAAGTATTCACTACTAGCAATAGGATCATGAAAGCACCTACTAAATTTTTTGCAATGCATTACATAAGAAGGAAGAGATATAGTTTTGTCTTATTTATTCAGACCCCCTACTATTTTTTTTCATAGATTCATCACTGATTATGGCTTGCCAATGGATCTTCTAGTGCTTTAGTTTTAACTGAATTCTCAGTTAATACACTGCTGTCAAGCAATAACTCCGGTTTGCAATTCCATCCAAAGTACTGTAGCTATCGTCATCAATGACCATTAAGAATAATAAAAATGATGCTCGAAAAACACGCCGAATCAAATGGAATATTAGTTCTGTATCATTTGCATTCAGGACAGCATTGTACTATATATATTTGGGCGCTTTCATATGTTGCATCAACGCTGCACTTGGTCCAGAAATTAAAAGAGAATATCAATTAAAATCCCAAGCAGGACCGATTGATATCACATCCTAATTACTACCTCCATATTTTAATATATGACGCCATTGACTTTTTATTTAATATTTGACCATTTGTCTTATTTAAAAAATTATATAATTATTATTTCTTTTATTGTGACTTGATTTATCATCAAATGTTCTTTAAGCATGACATAAACATTTTTATATTTGCACAAAAAATTTGAATAAAACGAATGGTCAAACGTTGGTTAAAAAGTCAACGGCGTTATACATTAAAATACATACAGAGGAAGTATCATTTAAGATGAACTGGCCGGCTTTGGCTTAGGTACGAGTACGACCATAAACCAATGGAGCAAGCTAGCTAGCATTAGCAACAACGTGCTTAATGCGCAAGAAGAATGATTTGCTCGTGGCAGGAAATTAAGCACCCCTATGTTGACGCACTCCTGCATCGAAAGCGATCGTCCAGCATTCAAAGCATTAATTTGACCTCGCTCATCTTGATTCTTTTTAAGGCTTCCAAATTGATGCTTGATAAAAGACAATTTATCGTTCTTCTGAGAAATGCAGATTTATTCATCACCACGTGATTTGCATGAAAAAAAAAAGAAATATAGGCCAAACTGCACCGGAAGGATGCCAAATAATGAAAGGAATCACGAACTTAGCAATGATATCTCAAGTCTTAATAGCTCCTGCATATTTATTCCGTGTCTAAAAAAAAAAGGAAAATCACAAACTCAGAGCCTTGACAGTTGAGATATCTGGATTTTTCATATTTTGGTCCTTTTAAAAAACTTATTTCGCAAATAGACCCTTAGAAAAACTTATCCCAGAAATAGTCCTTTTTGGGGCGCCAGAGTGGCTGGCGCGACGGCGCCAGCCTCTTTGGCGCCGTCCTCCTGCCACCATGGCACACGCGAGCCGACGTGGCAGGAGGAGGGCACCAACATGGCTGGCGCCGCCCTAGGGAGGAGGGCGCCAGCCATGCTGGCGCCGCCCCCCTCCCCCCCACGGCCCACCCCTCGCCTCCATTCCTATTTCTCTATATATAGTTGCAACATTTTTATTTTTGTTTTATTTTTTCGGATGTTTTTTCGCACTTAGGATCACGATACAACCAACTACTAGAGAAAAAAAAATAAACTCGAACGGAATATACCATTTAGCTAGATATCCGAAAATAGTATACCACTTAGCCTACTTTGCACCTTCATCAAAATTAGACCATAACTCCTTTAGCATGTTAAACATAATGCACTCTACCACTATATGAAATTACTTAATCTCTAACCACATGAAATGATGTAGTTTTTTATTTTTATTTTACTTTTTTGATATTTTTTTCACACTTAGGAGAATACAGGAACCAACCGTAGAAAAAATAAACTTAAACGAATAAAATATGTGACTTCTAGAATTTTCCAAAGCTCTCCCAAAGAGTCATTCGGGTGTCATTTATTAAA